GTCCCAAACTCACGATCTTCCTGTATAAATTGTAAAAAGATCAATGGACAGGGTAACCAGTCCCAAACTCACGATCTTCCTGTATAAATTGTAAAAAGATCAATGGACAGGGTAACCAGCCCCAAACTCACGATCTTCCTGTATAAATGGTAACAAGATCAATGGACAGGGTAACCAGCCCCAAACTTACGATCTTCCTGTATAAATTGTAAAAATATCAATGGACAGGGTAACCAGCCCCAAACTCACGATCTTCCTGTATAAATTGTAAAAAGATCAATGGACAGGGTAACCAGCCCCAAACTCACGATCTTCCTGTATAAATTGTAAAAAGATCAATGGACAGGGTAACCAGCCCCAAACTCACGATCTTCCTGTATAAATGGTAACAAGATCAATGGACAGGGTAACCAGCCCCAAACTCACGATCTTCCTGTATAAATGGTAACAAGATCAATGGACAGGGTAACCAGCCCCAAACTTAAGATCTTCCTGTATTAATGGTAAAAAGATCAATGGACAGGGTAACTAGCCCCAAACTCATGTTCTTCCTTTATGAATGGTAAAAAGATCAATGGACAGGGTAACCAGCCCCAAACTCACGATCTTCTTGAGAAATAAGTACACCTTTATACCTTATGGTGACACTAAACTTGTAATTGTTTACACAAGTCCTTTACACATGAAAGTGATAGTTTGTTTCAAATCTTGTAAGGGTTATGAATAATCTTTCACTTATTCCTTGGAGTCTGATACTTTAAAGTTCCTTTCTATCTTTCATTACTTTGATTGTTTGTATTAAACCAAGTAAATATGTTCAGCTGCTGACCAAATAGACGACGCAATACCTTCCCAGAACTGTAATGTTCTAACGTTCTATTCTACCCACAGAGATGACAGTATAGACGCTGGAACATCAAATCCTGACGAGGACGTCAGGGTGTCAGGAGAGGCCGTGTTAGCGGACTAACGCCATTTTGTAGCAGAAACCTATATAAAGCGTGGCAACACCGGCGTTGACTCACTTTTATTTCTAGACTTCGTGCGAACGGGCTTGTTACTAACCTAACCTCGGTAGATTTTAAAAGTCTAAAGTACCTACACGTTCTAATCTTTTGTGTTTCCTAATAATATTATTATTTTTTTAAAACTTAGCTTTACATACATACTAGACACTGATTTCTTGCAATCTTTTTCAGATTTGGTACTGAATCTGAACCGTCTACAAGCACAACGCTTGGTAGACCGGCTTTTGAGGACGACCATCATCTTAGGTTAGAATATTAATATTTTTTTTAAATAACCTGTGTGAACAGTGATAATGTGCGAAATATCCGTTAAAAAGCCGTTACTTTTTACGTGAATGTTCTTTATTACATTATCATTTTTTTTAAACTTAGCTTTACATACATACTAGACACTGATTTCTTGCAATCTTTTTCAGATTTGGTACTGAATCTGAACCGTCTACAAGCACAACGCTTGGTAGACCGGCTTTTGAGGATGATGGGCCCTTGGAGGATCGTCATCTTTTTAAAGATGAAGTTCTCAAAATGTGGAATTTAACTAAACTAAATAAAACTTTAGGCAATAATGAGCAGTGTATGGCATTCGCTGAAGAACATGGATTAGTACATTCTCAAAAGCAATGTGGAAGACATCGTGTACCCATGAAAATAATTAAATCGACGAATAAAACATTTGGCACATGGTCTTGTGCAAAAGGAAATTGCAAATCAAAATCAAGAGTATCTAGAAATAAAGGAACATTTTTCGAAAACATTAAATTAGACTTAGTACATGTCTTCTATTTACTATATGCATATTCACAAAATTGGAGTTATTATACAACTATTAATGAAGATCCATATAAAGAAGATAGACAACAATGCTTAAGTCGAGGCACTATTAATGATTGGTTTAATTATTGTAGAGAAACCATAGTTATTTATCAAATGGACAAGAATCAATTTAAAGGAAAAATTGGTGGCCCAGGGAAGATTGTGCAGATAGACGAATCAAAATTTGGGAAACGAAAATACAACCGAGGTAAGTCTTTTATAGCTCAATAAATTATATTTACTACATGTTAACTGTTACATTATTATTTATCTACATGTAAACTAGATTTTGGTTATGTTAGGTCCGCATCAATGATTGTGTTACAAGTCTGTTTTACCCCTAGAGTGTTATTTTAATTCTTTAATTGTTGTAGGACGACATATTGAGGGCCATTGGGTCCTCGGTATGATTGAAGACAATTCTGAAGATCTGAGATTGGAAGTGTGCTCAGATAATATTCGCTCAGCGGAAGTATTAGTTCCTCTAATACAGAAACACGTCGAAGTTGGCACGACCATCCACACTGACTTCTGGCGAGCATACGATTGCTTGTCTGAGCATGGATACCTTCATAAGAAGGTCAACCACTCGAATCCAGACAACCCCTTTGTGGCTGAAGATGGAACACATACTCAAAGAATTGAGTCTCAATGGAGAGCAGTTAAGAGATTTTTTAAAAAAGATAATTATAATTTTTATAGTACAGAAAATTTCACTGATCATTTATTCGAATACCTATGGCGGCGAAACAATAAGAAATATAAAAAAGATCCCTTTGAGGAGCTACTTATAGCAATTAAATATATTTATAAATTAAAATAATACTTTACTATACTCTTATTTTGCTATATTGCTTATTATGCTATACTGCTTATTTTGCTTACATATGTTAATTTCTTTTTTCATTTACTGCTGCTGAAGAGCTGCTGAAGTGGATAGAAGCCTACTGGCTTCTACCACGACCCGGCTCTACATGCACTATGGATTGGGCCCTGGTGGTTTTAGTGGGTATGGGGTCATCGCATTTTACGACCTTGACCCCCACACTCCCCGCGCCATTCACACACTTGCCCAGGCGTGGGGGCCCGTAAGTGGGTTTCCCCAGGTAAAAAAAAAAAAAAAAAATTTTTTTTTTTTTGGTTTCCTAAGCCCAAAATTTGTGGGGGGTGATTACTACACCCCTTCCCCCCCCTCCCCTCCCCTCGCACCCCAAATTTAGGTACTTCTCTCTCACATCTTTACCATAATTTCTCGCACGAAAACCCCCCTTCCCCAATCTGAATTCCCAACCTTTCATGGTATGTTATCATCCTTGGGCAGAACTTACCAACTCCCATAACATAGTTTAGAGTTATACATTGCTTAAGAATCTAAATATAGGTAATCTGCTAATCTAATAATTAAATCTAAATATAGTATTGTCTTTTATTGACATAACTTTCACACATTTGATAATAGAGGACACCGTGAGCCAATTCTGCCAAAACCCTCCATCTTTTAGTCGATACCAACTCCGGGGAAACAAACACAGATAATACAACTTTTTCTACAGCTGTGATACTTTTTGACATTCAACACCTTTTGTCTTCAGTCACCGTGACCACGCACGCTGTACAGCACGCGAAACGTCGGTTAAATTTAAAATTATGAAAAATAATTGTAAATACATAACTTCAATCCGGTAAAAAATTGTTTTATTATCAAATCTAAATATTTTCTACTAGCGGCATGTTGCATGAGAACGAATTAAGTTTGTTGGCGGTTGTTAGAGGGATGTTCAAATATGGTCGAAGTTAAGGCCAACAGGCTTTAATCGTTTAAAACAAGGACTTATAAAATAAAATTAGGGGAAGTGGGGTTGCGACGCTGAACTAACAAAAACTGTAACTTATTTATAAGCTCTTAAAACAAAGTGACGCATCTGTTACCTGTTGTTAGACCTTTTGTACATTTTCAGAAACGAGAATGTTATATTACTGTTAGCGGACTGACGTCATCTTGGACCAGAAACTTATATAAGGCGAAGCAAAACCGGCGTTGACTCACTTTTATTTCGAGACTTCGTGCGGAACGGACGTGTTACTGACCTACCCTCGGTAAATTTTAAAAGTGTAAAAGTACCTACACGTTCTAATCTTGTGTTTTTAAATTAAATCTGCTTCTGTTAACTAATATCAGAATAGGGATTTGAACTTTTCGCTCACTTCCTTTTTTTTTGTTTTGAGTATTTTTTGTGGTTTAAATTTTCCTTCTCTTTGTGTCCGTAAAGAACGAAGTCATGAGTAATTAACATTTTAAAAGTGCTCTTTGTGTTTTTGTTATTGTGCTTTTGTGTTACCGCTTTTTGTGTTCAGCGATAAGAGATAAAATGGATCACGAAGGTCACGCAGCCGGGTTTCGCACAGCAGGCGATCATCGGCAGGGTAGACGAGAGATGCTTCGACAGAGGACGGCCGAACGGTTGAAGGATAGTCAAATCAATCAGGACACTGTTGTTAATGAGGGTACGTAGACCCCCCTTGTAAATTCCAGAAGGATGATCTGGTATTTGTTATTAAGAACATGCAAAGGTATGGGTCTCTGTTTTAAATTTTTGTGGTGCTAATATTGTGTTTAGACCACTTTGAGAACATACAAGTGTATGGGTCTCTGTTTTACATTTTTCTGGTGCTAATGTGTTTAGACCACTAAGAGAACATGCAAAATGTATGGGTCTCTGTTTTAAAAAATTGTCGCTTATGAGAGCACTAGGAGCCACTGTCGTTACGACGGTGTATTGCAAATATACTGAGTTTTATCTTTATTCGTGTTAAGTCTGAAGCTATCTAATTCTGTAATATTTGCTTTTTGATAGACCTTATCTATGTGCGCTTGAGTGCACGCTTGCGCACATGGTTCTGGTAATGGAGAAATAGAGATAAATGTAATTTTACGTCCCTACAATCCAAGATATACGCTTCAGGCTATGGCGCGAGGCTAGGTAGATTGCTACAAGTTCCCTTACAGAGACTGCGCTAGACAATGATGAGCAGGTTGCAAGTGACGTCGCACAATCAGAAACGGCCGTCTTAGAAAAAATCCACACCCAGCAAGCCGGACCAAGTGAGAGGTTATAAAAAAAGGAGTGGAACAGCGGATTGGGGGGGTGGTGTCTACCCTTATGTACCTGCTTTTGGGGAAAGAGGTACCGTGTATGCGCCCACTTTTGAAATAAGGGGACCCTGGAATGTGCTTGCCTTTGAAGGAAGAGGTACTCTGTGTCTGGCTGCTTCTGGAGATGGAAGTAGCCTGTATGTGCCTGCTTTTGGAGAAGGGGGCACCCTGTGTGTGCTCGCTTTCAAAGATAGAGGTACCTTGTTGAAGCCTTTCCGCTTATCGGCGAGCCGTTGGGGCAGTACACAATGTGAGTGTGTACCCCCCGACGTGGAATGCTTTTCGCTTTGCGAAATGTCACTGGAGGAGTACATGGCCTTTAGTGTAGAAACCATTGACAGCGATGACGAGTACTTGAGACGCGATTCAGAGAGGGCAGGAAAGGCCACTAAAGCCCCAAACTCACGATCTTTCTGTATAAATGGTAAAAAGATCAATGGACAGGGTAACCAGCCCCAAACTCGCGATCTTCTTGAGAAATAAGTAGACCTTTATACCTTATATCTACTCTTATGGTGATACTAAACTTGTAATTGTTTAGTGATAGTTTGTTTCAAATCTTGTAAGGGTTATACATAATCTTTCACTCATTCCTTTGAGTCTGATACTTTAAAGTTCCTTTCTATCTTTCGTTACTTTGATTGTTTGTATTAAGCCAAGTAAATATGATCAGCTGCTGATTAAATAGTCGACGCAATACCTTCCCAGAACTGTGATGTTCTATCACCACAATCTACCCAAAGATATGACAGTATAGACGCTGGGACATCAAATCCTGACGAGGACGTCAGGGTGCCAGGAGAGGCCGTGTTAGCGGATTGACGTCATCTTGGACCAGAAACTTATATAAGGCGAAGCAAAACCGGCGTTGACTCACTTTTATTTCGAGACTTCGTGCGGAACGGACTGTTACTAACCTACCCTCAGTAAATTTTAAAAGTGTAAAAGTACCTACACGTTCTAATCTTGTGTTTTAAATTAAATCTGCTTCTGTTAACTAATATTACAATTTATGAATGTATGAAAAACTGAACGGCTAATTTATCACTACGAAAATTGACGTTTTACAAATTATTGGCTACAAGTGTAAGATGATCGTTAAAATTTCGTTTGCGTTATTTATCATTAACTAATATATATATATTATGTATACATATATGTTACACTAGTCAGTAGTAGTAATCAAATGTTAAAAGATTTTTTAAATACAAAATTACAAATGTTTCCACTTTGCAATACTAGTCAAATCAAATCATTGCGCCATGCGGCCAGTTGACACTTACTGACACGGAATGGTACAGACTTGCCCGATGTCATGTTTGAATTTAGACTCATTTGCAAGTTGAAATTCTAATCGTCATAAGAGAGATACAATATACAGATATGATGCAAACTTCAATAAATTACGCATTCTCACAGACACTACTTATTTATTCGTCTATGGGGAAATTCACAGCTCGCAAACAAATCACTGCATATCTACTGCAAAGGTAGAAATCGCTTGAAACTCTAAGATATTTATTCTTAATATATACATAATCGCGCTATTATGGGGAAAGCTTTAAGATCTTATACTTATAAATTAGATCTAGAACTAGCCGTTTGTTTAAGATTTCAACTTCACTATTACTATTACGGAATCAATAGATACTTTGCTATCCTGTGTTTAATTACTTAATAAATAAAATGTATTCATTCAAGTTGTAAACCCTATAATGGAGCATGAGGGAAGACACCTTTTCGCTGTTCCGGTTTTTTAAGTAGGTAGGGTCTTCTGCGATTTATCGATTCACGGTAAATCGAACTATGAAACCCGGTTTACACGCCATGTACGCTAACATGGTTAACAGGTTTACATTGATATTGGTAACGACGAATGTTACCAATAATAATGTAAACCTTATTCATATACAGATAGTCGTGTGGCTGTGAAAACACTAATAAGTTTAAATAGACAATTTTATCTAATCATAATATCAAATAGTTCTGTCAACATGACGTGGCAGTCTCTCACTGACCACGCTTGCTGGAAAAGCACTCAAAACGAAGTAATTTTAGTAGAATTTGCATTACTAAGATTATTTTCATGCGTTACAGAATATAATTTAAATTTGTAGTTTTTGCGAAGACCTAATACGGTATTATCTAGAATATTATTTTCAAACACCTTAACTACTCTAACTTATTTTTATATGGTCCTTAGAGGTAGAATATATAATGCTAAAATGTTGGAGAGCTGTGTGTGCCAAATAATCACACTCGGTGAGGTAAGCGGTCGCAATTGCATGCAGTGCCTCGGGGGCATACCGCACCCTGAATATTATGCTTGTGAGATGGATATATTTGCACACTGGCTGAATTCACAAGAATGGCATTACTTATAATTAGTTATAAAATTGTTTTGGTTTTATGTTTTCTTGTTTTGTTTATATTAGGTTTTTAGTTAAATTTTTATAAGTTTTCTATTGTATTAGTATTAAGTTGTATTGTCTTTTGTTGACATAACTTTTACTCATTTAAAGGAACACGGTGTCCTCTATTTCTTACATTTCTGCCAAAACCATCCATCTTTTAGTCGATACCAACTCCGGGGAAATAAATACAGATAATAAAACCTTATTCTACAGCTGTGATACTTTTTGACATTCAACACCTTTTGTCTTCAGTCACCGTGACCACGCATGCTGTAAAGCACGCGAAACGTTGGTTAAATTTAAAATTATGTAAAATAATTGTAAATTTATAATAATGCATAACTTCAATCCAGTAAAAAATTGTTTCCTTTAGTATTAAGTTACTTTATAAACTTATTGATTTATGCAACCCACGCATCATATATTTTGAAACAATGAGGCGTCCTCATAAAAGAAAAAGCGCGAGCTTTCAACCAGAGCTTACCTCGATATAATCCCAAAGTCGAAGTTGCAAGCTTTGGAAGTTTTACAACGATCAAGCCTGAAGGTCAATAGCGGTGGGCGCGTCGCCAACGCTAAACAATTGCTAAGTGCATTCGGACAATTTCTGTAATTGACCCCGCTGTTAGGGCAATTTCTACGTGATTGCGGCCGCACGGCAACTGTAGAATGGTAATGCAATGTTCCACTGTATTGTTATTACAATGCTCGACATAAACTGTTGATAGCTCCAGGAACAAAAGTGCACACTTTATATAATCTTTCTGAGTTAAAACAATAAATATACTGTTTAACAATTTGTAAACACGCATCTTAATTTTCATACAAGATTCCTTACAACTTACCTTCAGAAATAGATCGATACAGATCCGGAGACCGGGCCCACGCGCCTCCATCTTATATTGCCATAGCGACATCCCTGAGAAAATTTTACATTTCACCAAATTTTATGTGACTTTTATATTTTTCATGAGGAAAAAAGGCATATGTAACTTTGACAATGGTGGCGAGCAGTTTAGTGGTTGCAGCCGTAAGAAATATTTTTTTGTAACTCTACTTCAATGATTGAATAAAAATCATTCTTGCAATAGCTCTCTACGTCGTAGCAGCTAAACTTTTAACAAGATGCTACGAGCGTAGAACCCATGACAACAAGACATAATAGTGTCTACGTGTAACAAGTTAATAATATCCATCCAAGTATTTTCTTAATGTTTATGAGTTGATGAGTTCAATGCACTTCATTATGCATTGTTCACGACTGAAGAATTCATTCAAATGAATTTAACTACGAGATTCATGAATATTTATTACAGTTTCAGAGCGGATGGGTTATGATCAAAAGTAACGAAATAAAATACGCTTCTGACGAATTAGCATAACGGGGTGGCTATTTTTTGATTTTACTTTGACATCAAAGAATGTATCAGCATGTGAATTTTTTAATCTAGAAGCATAATAGTACAAAATAAAATACAGAAAACAGAACAAATGAACACCTCATAAGTATATTATATCGTAAGTATATTGTATATATGTTATTTTAAGTATGCTTATAAAGTGTAGAGATTTGTTTTTATTTGAATATATTTTTATTTTATTAATTAGGAAAGTTTTTAACATAATAGTAGTTATTTTATGAACCAATTATCTTACATGTATAATTGGTTTAGGTAAATAATAAATCACATTTTCTTTTCATATTACTCTTGATAATATTGAGATAGAATTGAATTAGAATCGCCTAAATGAAGAATTATTTTAGAATAATTTAGTCAAATGTAAATTATTACTAATCATTATTACAAAACCCAATTAAAAAACCTTTATTGAAATACATTTATTAAATATTTTATACAATAAATTACATATTCGTTGCATAATAAATATACATAAACTTATAAATAATGTTGACTAGTCCATTATCAAGCAAAAATTTTACCCAAATTCTATACGTATAAAATTATTTTTATAAGAATACACATAAAGCATACTTAACAATATGACTTTATTACCTTAATTTTCTAACATCTTTTATCAAAGACAACAAAGTACCTTTATATTTTTATGAATTCAACTTTGTTGGAAAAAACAAATAGGTACTTAAGTTCTGTTACAGTTGTCTGAATATTCCTTATGTATTTATGCTATTATACACAAAGACTAGATTTAATATGAGTAATAAGAAAGTACAGGATTGCTTATTATGTGATTAGTTTAACAATTGTCAATTTCACATTTCAAAACTTAATGTAATCTGTGACGCCTTTGTAGAAATCATAGTTATGATTGTCGAGAATATACAATTTGTTAGACAATAGAATCTTAAATTAATTAACAGGCTCTTAATAATACGCCGCAAATATTCAAGTTTGAGTCTGAATTTATAAAACAGAATTTAAGATTAAGCTAAATACCATATAACGTATACAAAGTGCAACATTTATAAACGATTCACAAACCTTCCAACTACCGTAGTTCGGCGGTGCGGTGACGTCGCTATAAACTGTCATTAAGTGTTTTGCCGTAATTATAATTGTAAATATACAGTCAAAATCTGTTATAACGACATCGAAGGGACTATTCTTATTTGGTCGTAACAGCCGATGATTATTAGTATTAGGTACCTAATACTAATAAAGAATTCAGCCGGGACCTTTGATTTTGGTCAATATAACCGGTATGTTGTTCTAAACGATGTCGTAAACGGTTTTGACTGTATACTGGAATTATGTATGTCCGGTCTTAATAAAGTTATTTTAGGAACCACTGGTGTAACTAATGTTTCATTAATGTAGTTTTCTTGCTTTTTCTCTATGCGCAAGTGTATCATAAAATCTAGGTATCGGCTAACAGAAACTTACCTATATATTTGTCAAATTATCGTTAATTGAAGCATTAATTTTTAAAAACTTTGTTAGTTCATCTTTTCGGTTTACGCTTCTAATTCTATCGTATACATTATATTCAAGTATTATTTGTGCTATGGGTTTATATCCGGTGACATCGATTTCAATAATAAGCTTTTGTACGACATCAAAGTTACGGATATTGAGAGAACTACATCGAACTTGCATACAAAAACGTCGAGAAGCCCAGGTATTAACGGTTGTGGGATTCGTCATTCGCCACGCTAACATTCTTTAGTGCAAAATCTAGATCTAGTCTCATTACACCTAGCCATGACGTCAATGTCAAAATTCGGGGATTATATAAGTATTAATTATTACCCGTCTATTTTATAGAACAAAAGCTTTCGTTTAAGATGATCAAGACGATTCATTTAACGTAGTCAACGCGGGCTTGATTATATTACCAGTATTCTGTAACACCCAATTGCGACAGCTATTCCGTCTCCATTGTTGAGTGTTTGTAGCGCGCAATCTAAAGGCGACACCCACGCTACAGATATTGAATGTATATTGAAATTGCATTCAATGACCATACAGAAGTTACACAGTATCGCAGACTTATTGAAGTTATTACCGGTGATAACGAATTTCTCCCTTGAAAAGGCTTAGTCCTACCTATAGGCAAAAGTGTCTCGTATGAGAGCCGAATCTTAGGTATTAGAGCGCATCGGTGGGTCGTAAATGAAAAGTTTATGATACACATAATTGCGAGATCATAGTCAAGTCACAAAGACTTATTTAACTTACAATAATATAGTTAACGATAAAAAAGATTGGCGAAGGGTTCCTTCCACTTCTTGTCCGTTCTAGGCTTTTAATTTAAGAAGTGGAAATGATGTACATTTATAAAGGTTTAATTTGTTGTTTTGTGTTCAAAAGCTTACAGCTTGTAATAGCGTATACATTTACCATTTTTAATTTGATATTTCAATATATAATAAGTTTAAATCGTCGACCGATTACGTGCTTATTTACACTTTAAGCGTGTATATACTAGTCAACTTATACATTAAGAAACATTCCAGAGACGCGACTTAATTCATTGTATCATAAAGTCTAGGTTTTAATAGCTTTTCGTATACTAGTTCTATTCTACACATTTAAAAATTTATCTAGCGCCCTCAATATGGCGTATTAAAATTATGCCATAAAACCATTTTAGTTATACGATAGGGTGTTCCAAAGTTAATTTTAAATTGTAATGTTTAAATCTCAAAGATTACACAAAGTAAAATTAGAAGCATTAATATTTATTTCTTTAATGACGAATCACAAGTGTACATTTTGTTACCTACGTGAATAAATGATTTTTGAATTTTGAATTTTGAAAGCTCAATATTATCTGTACACTGAAAAATTATCTTACATATTAAAATATACGAAAAATAAATGCACAAAACTTATATTATGTTCTCAAATAATCTCACATTTCACCTTGTCCGAGTATTTGATCCCAACTCACAGGTAATGTTCACAAACTAAGGGAACATTACCTTGTGCCGCCCGCCCTCAAGGCACGGATGTCTTGATACTGAAACAAGATAGAAGTTAATTTAAAAAAGGAAAACATCCTTTTGAAAATAGGCCTGTTAACTATAATATATATAGAAACACATATACATTTAATGCGTGTGGAATCTTAACGAATACTATAATATTATATATATATATATAGATAAATCCTTATATATATTTTTCTGGTTCACGTTGCAGCCTATGAAATAATGATTGTTTATTCACTCTAAATTTTTCTCTACTTTTTAAGACCTTCTGTCGATCCGAAGTGGTGGTGGCCTGATGACCTGTAACACAGGTACTCAGTCAGGCATCAGTCTCACACAAACAAGCTTTTTCCCTAAATAGAAGCAAGACAATTTATATTTATAATAATATATAACTGTCACTTATTTATTTACGAAGTTTTGTGAGAAAATAAATAAAGATTATTATTATTATTATTGTGGAATGATCTTTCCGTGGCGGGCAGAACTGGTAGACTAGAAGTTTATTCAATACTAACAAGTATTTCTCTAATAAATAATACTACTTTTATTGCCTAGGTGCCAATCGACAGAGTGGAGGAGAGCCGGCTACAGCTGAAAGCCAGGAAATTGGAAGTGACACAGGACAGGACACATTTTGGCTTTGTTTTTAGTGGTAATCTTTCCGTTTCATTTCCTATAGCCAATCTTCGGATTGTCTAGAAAAACTGATCTTAGTAGTCCCCCCTTTTACATCTTCTGGCTTCTTTATATGTTTGTGACGTTAATAAAAACATTATTTTTATTATTAGAAAAGAAAAGTAAACTTTATTATACACAATATACAGGATATTTAGTAAAAGTGCACTGGCCCCCACACTAGGATTCCCTGTGTTGTGGGATTCCCAGTATTAAGATTTTGTTTGAGATTTTTAGTAAGTGTATGTAATGTGAGTTTGAAATGTTAGTGATTATTTGGTTTTTAGGGAAGTGGTTAAAAATGAAAGGGCCTCGGTTCGCGTTTTTTTGAGTTGTATTTATGTTATATATAGGTTTGCGTTGTGTTGTATGTGGTGTGGAGTGTGTTTGTTTCCAAAAAAGTCTGCATTTTTTTTTTTTTCGGCCTCTTTATTTGATGTGCTTCTTTCTAGGCGTGGTTTGGGTGTTGTTTTGTGGTCGTCCCCCCCCCTCACCCCTCATATTGTTCAGCCAAAAGTCTGCATTTGCTATTCCCTCATACCAAAAAGTATAATTGTCTAACCGTTAAAAGTTTTGTTTCGTTGAACAATTTGAAGTTGAGTAGCGGAAAGGTTTTTATTAGTATTATTTAACTAATGTAGGGAAACACAAATCTTTTCATCGTTACCCACAACCTCTCATCGTATTGATAAATCATTTTCAATCAAGAGCATAGAAAAAGTCGAGATTAATCATATTATATCAAAACTGTCCAGAAGGCTTCGAGAAAAGTAATACTGTACATCCCCCTAATGATGTTAGTTAAACACGTTATTCGGCCACTTTCGGCATCTTATTCCTACTTTCTTTGTTAGAAATTTCATAACGTAACAAAAGGGACCCATAAACAAATGGCTGTTTGAGCTGCGCAATTTGGATCCCTTCTCATAAATTAGATTTAATGATTTATCCTTCTATTCTTCTGGTAGTTATTACAACATAAGCTAGAAACTATTTTGCTTCTAGCGGTTTTCCATGGAAAGATAAAACAGATATATTATTATTTAATAATCTTTGCTGCATTGTTCATAATCGATTCAGAGGTCTCCCAGATTACCTCCTATAAAAGTTCACAACCTAAGATTGAAGATGTTTATTTCCCATTAGAAATAAATTTCACTTACACGAGAAAAAACACTTAAATTACGGGTAGCTTCAATAAACAATGAACCTTATAATATTAGTAAACAATATACATACTATGCTTTAATTATATGTTTTATACTATTTTATATTTTATATGTATTGTTTTAGCCAAGCTCATAAGACGAATAATAATTGTAAAAATATAAAACGATATTAATACATTTTATTATTTTCCAGATACTTATTAACTTCAAGAATACATAATATATAATAACAATATCATTTTTTTTAAGATTTTAACACTTACAAAAGTCAGTTGCGTATATTTTTACGAGTAATGTTGAACACAGTTGTTATTACAGAACTCGGTGCTAATGTATTATACTAATTCAATCTTAATAAAGCTCGAGAAACTACGTAATAATATTATCTACTTTGTGAAACACGAAAACAACTAGGCAAGTTTACAAGCTTCTAAATAATTTGGACCATAAACCAAGATAGACACGCCTTTGTATTCAAGAAACAGTGCATTCTACTATTTGGATAAGGAAATATGATATTATAATAATTAATATAATAGTCAATAATCATTTAGGCTAATAAAAATTATATAGCTTTTATTAGTTAGCTTACATTTCATTTTATATTTTATTTAATCAGTGAACATTTTCTTTACCAAAAAGTTTGTATTACTATTCAAACTAACAGATCAAGCTTCTAACTACCTGTGGCGTATTGATATCACAGGGCAGCAGCCCTGCGATTCTGTAACTCACTTTTCGAACTCACACAGCGGTTTTCGCATCGGCGGTCGCTCTCAAATCAGTCTAAGCAGTCATTTTATGATTTGGCATTCTGATTAACAATAAACTACAATTTCCCACCTTTTTCAGAATGCCAAATCATAAAATGACCCTCTTCACGACTGGTTTGAGAGCGACCGCCGATGCGAAAACCGCTGTGTGAGTTCGAAAAGTGAGTTACAGAATCGCAGGGCAGGTGTGTAAACGTTCAAGCAATTAGTAAACAATTAGTAATCGTTCTATCGTCTGTTGTACACACCAAGGCACGTTACGGGATTTATCACTGATGCAAATATTATATGTAGTAAAACTAGATGAAATTTATTTGGTTTTTGGAATGGTGTGTCTATCTTGGTAAATGGGACGTAAAATTTACTCACATAGTTACTCAATATTAGTGTTGCTCGGCTGTAGTTACCTTTTTATCTTAACTGTGTACCTGTTGAGAGAAAAAATATCTCAAAACTACCTACACCCAACACCTGCTCTATAAGATTAAAAAAACTGATTTCTAATGTATTGGTTATTAAAATTTCAGCAGATCTTATTTTAAATACCACAATTTTAGTTAAAAATGACAAAACATATAACCGGTGAGCTATCTGTAAAAGCGATTCAGATTTCCAATAATTAACATTTAGTTTATCTTTAGGAAACCCTCTAAAGTCAAAATCAATATCAAAACGCATTCGAATAAATATGACGTCACCAATAGATATAATTCTTTGAAAGTTTTGACGTGTATTAATTTTCTGTGTACCCGTCAGAATGGGTACAATAATTAAGGTATCAATAATAATTGAAAAACTCTCCCAAAGAGCCTCCATGCCCTATTATTTTTAGTGAATATCTTTTGTTTACTACATTAAGAAGTTATATTATTATTTCCAAAGAAATATTATTTGGTAATGTTGCAAATATGGAACAACATTAAAACTGAAATTGTAAATGAGCACGGAATTGGAATCGCGTTTGACAGCTACAGAGTACCACAGCTAACGATTCTGACAAATTGCGTTGACGCTGCACTGTGACACGTTTTTAACGGAAAGGAAATGTTACATCGTAATCATTAAGTGAACGTTGCTACGAGATACATTTTCCTGATACACATTTGTACTGTAAACAGCTTAGTTTTGTTGTAAAAGCACATTTACATTCACTTCTAAATTATCTTAAAACAGTTATAATTAAACGCATTGTTATAATTTAAATTGCAAATTGTAAATGACCAAAACAAAACATGTAACGTGTTTTTATTACTTCGCATTAAGTTCCTAATTATATCCTATTTAGTCCTGCTTGATTCAAAATGAAATTATGAATCATTCAAAGGTTAATGAAGAGTTGTTATTCAAAGAAGAGCTAATTAACTTTCTTTAAAATGTGAATAAAAGAATGCATGGTATGTTTCATAACTCAATATATCGTTCGACTTAAATATTTTACTGCCGAAATTGACCTGACTTTTATTACTATTATTATATACATAAATATGCAATAAACGTGTTATTCAAACCGATTAATATGGTTTCTTTAAATGGGTAATTACAAAAAAAATTGTAAAAATACATACGTGTTCTGGTTATGCGAATCCGAATGCGAGCCGGTGGCTGGCAGGAATCTAGCAAAGTGTTTCTGCAACAGTAGCTGCCGAAACGTCTGTCTGAACTGACGCGACATCGAGCAATACAAGATGAAGTTTATCGCTCCATTCAGTAATGCCAGGAAATCCATTAACTCCCCAAACAGTCCATAGCATCGTTTAAAGAAACATGACCCCAGCAAGCCGCTCATCAGCCCCAAAATCCCTTGCGGAAGCTCCGTCACTAGGAACAGAAGTAGGACCGCGAGCAGCATCTTCGTGGTTCTATCAGTCCTTTTGTCAGCTTTATGTTGCCGCTTTACCATTTTCTCGGCGGCGGGACATGAGCTGTAGTTTCTTAAATTCTTTTGATGTTGATTCGCACTATACAAGGCCCGAATAAGCCATAGGCTTATAATTGTTAGAATCGAACAAGGTAACAGTTTGATTAACACGGAGTGAACCCAGAAGTTTAATTGGTAAAGGATTCCTTGGCTGTTCGAATCTACGTGATATGCTAATTCAGGGCGTCCCCGAGTGTCACTAACATTTTGTGTATGAATGTCAAATACCTGTAACAAAGAATGTACATTGTATTCAAAACAGGCGAGCATTTTGTGTAAATGATACCATGCAATTGTAGTTTATAAGCTTAATTATTCCAAATGAGTCATTAATATGATTTCTGCATACGCCGCCAATATAGAGAAATAAAATATTTTGATATTTGAACAAGAGTACCTTTGGTAAGGTCTAGTAATTAAGCGTGTGACCACTCTAAGGCAAGATTTTGTACAGTAATAATTTTTTTTCAAGTTAATTAAAAATGCACGTACGATGAAGGTGAGGACACAGAAAAAAAACCAAAAACCACACCCCAATGTGGTAAAGTAAAACATACTACACCAGATAAAAGTTTGGGATCGATTTTGATTAGTAAAACAAACGTAATATCATGTCGCATGTCAACCCGTATTAGACAAAGGGCCGATTCGACCAAACAAGGAAAAATTTTATTTCAAAAAAAAATTCATTTTTTAATGGGAAAATTATTTTTTTTTTTTTTTCCCCAATAATTATTAAAAATGGGGTTTTTTTTTTTTTTTTTTTTTTCTCCCCTCCTTTTTTTTAAAAAAAATTTTTTTTTTTTTTTTTTTTTTTGCTTTTCCCCCCCCCTTTCTTTTTTTTTCCTTTTTAAATATGCTGTCAACAGCATATATTGATCAACAGCTCAATCACAAAATAACGGAACGCAAAATCGTTTCGTCTTTCGCTTTACATTCTCTAGGTCGTGTTTTATCAACAAAATTGTATAAATATAAGTGAAAACAAACAAAATAAGAGCCTTTTGCGGTTCACTGCACGGTCGCCCATCTTAAAATGAGATTGCTCAAGTACTCGGAAGGCGCCTATATAAGTTCGTTCCTCAATACGAGTCCAGAAAGTTCAAATAAAGCACTTAAACATTTACTTTTTGCCATCTATTTCCTCTAACCTTATAAAACTATCATTATTTATTCAACATAAAATCATGTATGTTTTAATATTTATATAGTTTTTGCGCAATATATTGTTACGTGCTTGGTTAATATAATATAAATTTATGAAAATAATAAAAAAAATATTTGAATATCAATTTTTTTTAACCGTTGTCAGCGTATTAAACAGACCAAATCTTATTAACTGGGGAGCTCATGTGTGACGGATCTTATAAATAATATTAAATTTTATGTTTTAGGAACGTTTGAACAACATCAGATGGCGACGTGTTTTTGTTTTGATTCGCCAAGAATCAAACCCTAGACTTTTTTAATAGAACGAGCAGGAGGCACCTGATATTAAGTGGTATCGCTGTCTGTGGACACGTACAATGCCAGAAGGCCCGCGAATGCCAGCCAGGGGGCTTCCTCACAGAGGCGGTGCGCGGCAAACAGTGCCTTAAAAACGCTCAGTTGCGGAACGACGAACATTGATAGAGGTGTAATTAAAACTCATACCTCCTGATTATACGCCGTATACTTTAAGGACCAATCTGGTCGCCAAACTGCACAAAAGTACATTGTTTCTTTCCTTTTTTTTAAAGGGATATAAATCATAAATCTATCTATCTTAATACAACTATGCAACGTTAGTGATTAATTTAGAACAAGAGCCCTGGAGTAAACAGGAACTTCTCCTAGATCAAAGAAATGGAGATGGAGGCTCACCATGAATGTCGGTATGCATAATATTGGTGGGAGAATAAAACTGCTCAGTATTGCGATGCTGCAGCGCCTCTCGGTGCATAGGATGTGACTCCGATCTGAGTATCTAGAAAAAGATAAGTAATTTTAGTTGAGATTTTTTACATCAATTATGTTTATGTAAAGTTTATTATTCTTGTTCAAGTATTTATTACTAAGCGAATTTGAAATGCTCGTCGTCAATGGGGCAGACATATTTCTGCGTCTTAAACGAATAATTATTGTTGTATAGGTAATAAAGATACCCAATTTGCTACTAATTTATTTACAATCAGGGTAATGAAATGATAAATAATTCTTTAATATAACATGAAATGTTCTCTTAAGCGTTTTATCTACTTTTAAATAACCATAGGTTATGGGTGTATAATTTCATTATTAATTTATATTAATGGTAGCCTCGGCACTTACTTTATCGCAATATATCTCCATATCGCTAACGACAATGTGAGGCAAATCGAGGCTGTATGCAATATCTGCGCAAAATGCATATGGAACAGCAGATACATAGCCCAGGAATATGAAAAGTCCAGTGTTTCCGGAAGTAGCTGAAAGAATTTACGATTATTTAACGCGTGACTTCGTGTTCTAAAATACATTTTTACGCAAAAAGAATTCAGTTCACATAAACACACAACACACAAGATAAAACAAGAAAATTCTATTTTCTACAAAAATAGTACATTTAATAGAAGATTTAAATTAGCGCGTGGTAGATAGTACCGGTGAACTCAGAGCTGGTGCTTTCCTTCGACGAATAAGTATGGCAATATAGCGAAGAAATGCTGCCAGGAAAAGTATACTGCCACAGGGACCAAACTTTAAATTTGTTTTGATTTTCTATTTAACCATTTTAAATTTGTTTTGATTTTCTATTTACTTTGTAGGTTAAGAATATTATAAGTACTGTATATTTGTGTGTTGAAAATAAATGATAATAATTTTATAATTAACATTATTATCGAACCTAAAATCCACCACGCCATGATAATTAATTTTTCGTTATCAGAATCAATGAAATAAACACCATTCGCCCTCATAAACGTTACGAGAACTTTAACTTCTAATTACCAGGTATTTATATATGGAGAACGGGACATATTCCAGCATCACAAAGACGTCAGCTACTGCCAGCCACTTCAGCAGACGGTTGATGGGCGCTGCGGCCATATCTCGTCGGGTAAGAACTGCTACGTTCATTGTGTTTGCCAGCACGCCAATTGTACAAACCTAGAAAAATACTTTCATTGAATTCATATAAACAATATTTTATAACTATGAGTGATACATATAACGATAATAACCTTATAAAATATTATATAATAACTAAAATATATTATTAAAAGGAGTCCCTTTAGCCAAGGTACCACAGAAACTGGCAGCGTTCCCCCTTTGAATAGCTAAACTAATTCTTTGTCCGAGGTAGCTGCCAGCTCTTCGGTCTCCTATGATGTCGACTAACAATATTTTATAAAGCCGAATAAGCTTAATTTCCGTATCATAATAATCCAGTGTCGCCAAATAATAGGTCTTAGCCTCAGATTACCTTCGATTGTTTGCTCATTTTTATTTCATAGACAACTAGGTGAGACCTTTGTGTCTGACATCGATTTTTGGGTTTGAGACATGCCGGTTTCCTCACTATGTTTTCATTCACTTTACGAACAAGTGTTAAATGAATACGTGGTAAATTATGCGTAAAGTATTAAATAATGAATCTGTTTAGACAAAAACAAAAGTTACAGATGTCATACACGCCATAAAACAAAATAGCATTGGGCGAGACATATAGCAAGGCGCCCAGATACAAGTTGGACTTTAAAAACAACTATATGCAAACCAAGGGGTAGAAGGAGAAAAGGAGATAGAAAACTTGGGTAGAAGATTATAAAAACGATCACAAGAAATGAATGGAGAAAGAAAGCTATAGATAGAGGAGGTTTGGAAGGAGCTGGAGTACCCCTTTACCCGAAAAGGTGTTCCGGTACAGAAGGAGTACGACGATAAGAAAAAAATGTAAATTGTACATTTTATACAATTGATTGGAAATAAACAGGCTTTATTATAAGCCCTTTGAAAACTTCCTAACATCGCAATAAATGTAAACCAATATATTCAGTATGTAATTAACCAGGCTTATTGGCTCTCATAATCCTACTTCAAAATGCTATAACATTATAATCCATTGATAAAATAATACCAATAATCTGTAATACGCTTTTCCATGAATCTCTGATTTAAATTGCGTGTTTCATTGTACCTCCTCTACGTTATGTAAAGATCTTTTAACCATTGCTAACTAAGAAGATTATATTACAAGAAGAAAACGTATGTCATACACATACAGCATTATAATTCCGTGTAAAAAGTCAATTTATTCAGTCCCTACTTTAGGGACCTGTTTCTTAAGGTTTTACGTAATAAGTAACCTAACAACATCTTATACTGACTTTATTAATATTACAAATCTTATGTTTTTAATAAATACATTGACAGAATTTTCTAATTTTATCCACAACGAAGTTAAAGGGGGTCGCCGCCGCTTGCTGCTTATTTATTCGACTTGGCGGGCGCAATGATGTAGTAGCCCCAAGATTCTCTTTCAAATATTTTCCTGAATCAAAACAAATATATATGGTAAATCTGAAGCGTTCACCTCATATTCGTGATGACAATAAACATTATCGTATCGAGTATTTGCGAGCCTTTAATACGTAAAATCGAATATCGTAATTTGTATTGGAAAACTTAAGAACCGTTCTTTGGGCGTATTTTGAAATGAACTGAAGTACGAACATGCATCGTTTAAATAAAATATAGTAGAGTACGCACTGTCAAAACATTTTATCATCCTATTATCCGAATACTCGACGAAACTACCGTTATGTTCATTGCTAAGAACTCAGTTAACTTGACGAATACGTGACTGAACTGTCAGAAATGTTTGTGCTACTGTACCTAATATTTAGTTAGGTAGTGTTTTTAATGCGTATCCATCCCTGTGTTATGCTACTCCATTTCGGTTTCTGTCAATAACAAATGCTTGGGGTTCAAGTAAAAACTTGTATTATGCTTGGATTTACCAACAAACAATACGGTTTTGGTTAAAACCATATCCTTAAAGGTATAATCCTTTCGTTTGCTTTGTCATTTCGTTAAAAATAAGAATTCGAAAACAGTCTCTTTAAAGCCTCAGTTTGCATCGGAATACTGGGCGTTAACATATTGAATGACGTTCAGTTTCGCGGTCATTTGGAAGGCTAGGCTAAATTAGCCTCTGAGAAGCTTGTTATGCTCAGAAAGGCGAGACGGTTCTTCACTCTGGAACACTGCTTGTAACTCTTTAAAGCGCAAATTTAGCCGCACTCTGAGTAATCCTCTCACCTCTGGGTGGGAGCTCCCTAGTACCAGCTCCTTCCGCTTGACCGTAATCAACGAAGAGCGATTCGAATCGTCGACGACCAGTTACTTTCAGGTGCGGATTGATGCTTTGGCGTTGCGTAGAGATGTGTCACTCTGCTTCTTCTACAGCAATTACCACGTATTTTTACCTGTAGTTGAGTTTCATCATCGGACGTGGAGGCAGAATACGGAAATCCACCCGCATCACCTGGACGTCCTATGTGGAACCAGCAACCAGCCTACCAATGTATTTCCGAACCAATTCTTAGGGTCCTTTAAGAAAATACCGTAAAAATATTTAAAAGGCCAGCAACGCACCCGCGAGCCCTCCGACGTTGAGAGTTGCCGTGGGCGGCGTTATCACTTATCATCAGATGAGCCTCCTGTCCGTTTGCACCCTGTTATATAAAAAATTGAGGGATTGAACCTCAGGGATAAGCCACTCTCATACTATAAGACGAAACCAAGGCTTTGAGTATAAATATTTATTAGTGGTTCTTAAAATAAATACAGTAAGCTCGAGGTAAGCTTGATAAAATAAGGTTAAAGTGAAACGTGCTTTAAAAGAAAATTTCGTTTTAGAAAAAATACAACGGATTTTTCATTTAAATTGGTAACTGAGCCTATTTTATTGGTTATTTCACGGGATTGTCGGCACATTATCTATACTAATATTATAAAAGGAAAAGTTTATGAGGTTTTAGAGGGAAATAATCTCTGGATTTTTTACCAATAGAAAGCCACGTTAATTATAAACCTGATAAGTGAAAAGACTTTTTTGTGATTTCTCTGACTTCCAAGTCAGAGAAAGAATTGTCGAACGTAAACGTTTCTTACGAACGCTGCTTTTATACTGGTACGGAGCCCACGATCTAAATGGGGATTTACTCGAGTCGTAGAGACTAGGGATGCAAAGCTTAGATAATAAGAAGAAAAAAATGTTATATGATATATACCTTTTCATCGGTGGGGAAGCGGCTATAGATTATTAAATATGTAAAAAAACTGTTGCATGGACATCCTCATCAATAGCATCAATGCCCTAGTATTTTTAATAATGTACGTATGTTAATCTGATCGTTTGCATGATGCGGGTGGTTGTATTTAAGGGTTGAAAATGAAAAAAAAATACGAGAGATTTTCAAGGGAGTGTTAAGTGCACCAAAAAAGCTCTCATTCACTAATCTGACGATTTCGATGGGACCAAACCCACGGCCATTTTCATAATTTGCAAAAAAAATCGCAATTTTGAAATACTCAAGCCGTCAGATTAAATAAATTGGTTCATCTTTATGTTCTAAACGTACTGTCTCATAATCTGACGATTATCTAGAGGATTCCCTGATCTGACAAAAAAATTTAGAAAAACGGTTCACTAAAGGGCCATCCCTGCAACTTCCCGCTAATTCCATTCCTGGGCGCTTAAAATTGATATTTTGAGCTCGCTGAGTTCAAAGAAATAATATTTCTATGCATTTGAGCTCTCCCAGCTCGAAAGTCTGATAGAAGTTTCATAGAACACTATTTTTGGAATTTTCAAACCGCAATAACTTTTGAATGGATCAAGCAATTTTCACGCGGTTGGCGGCATTCGACCATTTTATCATCCTCATATGTAATTTTGCAATTTTAATTGATCGAACCACAAATTTCGGAGTAATCCCGACGAATCCCACTTTTCGGGTTTCTTTCGTTCACGATATTCTCGAACAATCAACCGCTTTTGACCAGCTTGGTGGCGATCGACGTGGTTTTTCAAGCTCAAAGGCGGATTAGTTTGAAGTTGATCGATAAAAAACATTAAAAAAAATATTTCTTATTTTTTAAGATTTTTCAAAATTTCTCAAAATCTACGGTCGAATCGGTTCAAATTCACAGGAAATGTAATTTTGAGGGAAATATTTAGAACGCCGTTAGTAGATTCCGATCGGCTTAAGTAAATGTAGGCATCACGCAGCTGCACGCATTTAACTTTATCGACGAATTTTTGTTATTTCGGCTTGCGGAAATCGTCAGATTATATATTTTTCATTATTCTGAATTATTTCCTTCAAAATAAAAAAATTTAGCTACGCTCGAGAATGTCGAGATGACGTTTTTTTTACAACTTTGTTGCCCTCCCTTTTTACGTCACTTTCAAATTGTCAGATTAGTGGAATATAACTTTTAGGATGTAATTAACTCACCCTACCTTAATCTGACGCGCTCGGGAATTTCTGATGGTCAATTTTTTTTACTAATCTGATCCTGTCTCCTTCACGGGCGGCCTTATATATGGGCCTCATATTTTGTGGAGGTACTTAACCGGGTACAAGGTATCCCCCTATATATTAATCTGCCGCGCTTTAGTAAACCCGAAACCCTCTTGGGCTCCCCTACCATACTGACAGATTGAGCTTTATAGAGCTTGAGTCAACTTTTGGCGACAGCATAATATGTCTAATTTTAGTATTAAAAGACCTCCGCCGTGTCTATCTGTCTGTTCGGGATTCAAAAGCTGCTGCACGGATTTGTTTGCGGTTTTCACAACTATTCATATGGAAGCTTTAGGTATATAATTTTTAAGGTTTACGAGTCATGGATGCTTGTGCGTGCCCAGGCAGGACACTAGTACAAAATAAAGAGGTATATCAAGTGGTAATATGTAAAGGTTTAAAAAAAAAACATAAATTAATTTTAAAAAAATATACTTGTAAATAACACAATTCGGTTCTTTTAATATATTGTGTTTGGTTTATTCCTCGACTATGCTGCCTCGGCTATTGTGTACGTATATATATTATTTAGCTAATATAAATAGTAAAGAATTATATAAAAATGGGTTGGATATTTATTGGAGTTTTCAAAAACATTCTTACTGCTAAACCTAATATTTAAATTTAGTCTTTATCCACCCAAAAAACAAAAACAAAAAATATCCTCTTATTTACAATTCTTATTTTTAACTTTTAATTTTATTTTATTTATTATACACCGTTACACACGATCTTCATTACTCACACTTCTAACTTTAATATTATTATTATGATTTTCTACTTGGTATTATTATTATTTATTTTATTTTATTAGAAGCGCAAACTAGCTGCTGTGGTCTCTGGCAGAATGACCAGCGCTGTGGAACTTTTTGCTCCTCAGCATAATGCTGAGCCAGGGCCAATTACA